ACTCAGGTGAGGAACTGCCCTGGTAGGCAATGCCAAGGTGTCTCCTGATATTTCGCCCAGCCCTATAGTATGTACTCTTAGGGTATACGTACATTGTACATATGAATACGGAGTACGGAGTACATGGATACCTGCTACATGCACCTACATAAAAAGATTCCCCCGCCACCGCGAGGTCGTTTAGTGCTCGCCCATTAGTAATACCTTTTTGATCACTGGGTGAAACCCAGCACGCCCCCAAGTAAAGCTCAGTGATTTGTCTGGGCACCGCGGGGCAATCCCCACTCACTAAGCGTTAGGCTAAGCAATCAAGTCAGCTTATCTCAAGAAATTCACCACCTGGGCACGCTAGTGCCCTATAAGTCCCCACTTCGGTTGGCTCTGTCTCACTAATAAAAATTACAAGAAATCAGGTGCATGGGTACATTTGATAGGTCTATACTATATGCTCTATGTGCGTAGGTATACCTAGGTTCATAGCGGATTATCTTTTTCAAGCCGAAAGCTCTACGAGGAGGGAAAGAGGAGGGAGCTTGGCAGGGCCGGGTCCCGGACTCCGGGGCCGTTGCCATGGATCAACTAAATCGGCTAAGCATTCGCCTCCAGGCTTGATCTTCACGTGGGGCCCTCATTTGGAACTTTGGAACTTCTTGACCAATCAGAGGGCTCCGTTCCTCCATGTGCCCGCATCGTACAACAGCTGCTCCAGGGCTCCTCATCTGAACTTCAACTCAACATCAGGTACCGGGTGCGAAGTACCTATATGGTACTTAAAATAAAGCTGCTAAGGATATAGTAACTTGAGTACCGGTCAGGTATACATTCCTCTAGAGTTTATCTCCAATGTAAGATGCACGTGTAGCGACCCCCTTGTCTTCCAAACTTCCAAACTTCCATACATATTCTGGCATTCCGACCTCTCTCGACGATCTTTTCTTCTTTCTCACCATCCTCCTTCTGCTCAGTTTGCCTCGCTCTCATCTCAGCTACATCAATCTTTTATTGATTTTCTGCGAGATCCATCAGAATGAAGGCTGTTATCGCTGTCGTGATGGGAGCGGCTGCTCTGGCAACCGCTCAGACAGCTACTACCTCGGAGCCCGCTGTCGCGGATATTCGTGCGGCTGCCGCAACTACCAAGCCGGAGGTTACCACCTCCGATGTCAAGGGCTTGGCTTTTGACCGTTTTTACCAAGTCTGGCTGGAGAACATTGTACGTGACAAACTCCCAAAACTTTCCTGGAGTCTCCGAGACACCATTACTAACGGGCTCATAGGATTACAGCAATGCCGCCTCCGATGCCAACATGCAGTGGCTTGCTTCTCAGGGTATCCTGCTGTAGGTTTCCAATAACCCGAGTGATGTATGAGAGGACCCATTCTGATGCTCTTTAGGAACAACTTCTATGCTGTCACCCATCCTTCCGAGCCCAACTACTGCGCTGCCGCTGGCGGTGACACGTTTGGAATGGATAACGACGACTTCAATCAGATCCCTGGAAACGTTTCCACCATCGCTGATCTGCTTGACACCAAGAGCGTCTCGTGGGGTGAATACCAGGAGCACATTCCCTATGCCGGTTTCCAGGGCTACAACTATTCTAACCAGGAAACTTACGCCAATGATTACGTTCGGAAGCACAATCCATTGGTGCTTTATGACTCCGTTGTGACCAACAACACTCGTGCACGTCACATCAAGAGCTTTGATGACTTTGAAGATGATCTCCAGAACAAGAAGCTTCCTCAGTGGGCGTTCATTACTCCTAACATGACCAACGATGCGCATGACACCAACATCACGTTCGCTGCCAAGTGGGAGCGTTCTTGGGTGTCCAAATTGCTCGATAACGAGTACTTCATGAACAACACTCTCCTCCTTCTGACCTTCGATGAGGACAAGACCTACACAAACGACAACCGTATCTTCAGCATTCTCGTTGGTGGTGCCGTTCCTCAACACCTCAAGGGTACCAAGGACGATACCTTCTACACTCACTACTCCAGCATTGCCAGTGTCTCCGCCAACTGGGGTCTTCCTTCCCTGGGCCGCTGGGATTGCGGTGCCAACCTCTTCGAGATTGTCGCCAACAAGACTGGTTACGTCAACTACGAGGTCGACAAGACCTACCTTACGCTTAACCAGACCTACCCTGGTCCCATGTCGATTGGCGACCCAACCATTGGCAATACCTCCACCTTCATTGCCGAGTGGCCGGTTCCCATCACTGACAGCAATGAGAAGTGTTCCGCTGGCCACGGTATCCTCGATATCGTCAAGAAGACCTATGGACACCTGAACTCGACCTACGACACCAAGCCCTACCCCTGGGAGGCCAAGACTCACTACAATGACAAGGTCACCGCCACGCGCGCATCAAACGCGACCACAAGCAAGACAAACTCTACTGCAGTGAGCTCTAGCAGCACCAGCACTGGTGTTTCTGGCGCTGGTGTTTCTGCCACTGCTCCCATGACTACTGTCGTGCTCGGAGCTCTGTTGGCCGTCGCTGCCTACTCCCTCTGATTAAGCTGTTCTTCGTCCATTCTTACTAGTCTGCCGGGTGTGGCTGTGATCCTATGACTCTTTATGATCCTGAAACTTGCAGGCGCGGCAGCGGTTAACTGGGAAGGAATGATTTCTCCAAATTTCGGAGATGTAAATCACAAACAGAACTCTCTATCTTGAGGCCAATATCTTAATCTTTACCTATGAAATCAAATGCGTTACCATTCTAATATGCTATTCTCTTTAAAAGACAGCTAGAAGTAAGTACAAAAATACCTAATGTGGTATTTGTATCGGCCTAGTCATGGATCTGAGAACGTACGATCACAAGGATAGTCGGCCGCGTTTGCGGCCTTATGTCTTTTTGGGAGTCCTTTTATATGTATATTTTGCTTGCCTTCTTCAGCTTCATATATATACGGCAGAAGAAGGCGGAGAAAGGCTTAATTTGTGAAATGAACTTTTCCATGTGTGAAGTATATCGCAAAAGAAAACAAGAGCGGAGGTGGCATTGAAATCAAAGTCACGTGAGTTACCTCGGCTCTTCCGTCTGGGGAACCGAGCGCGGTCGATGAGCAACTCCGGGACCCATTTCCCCGTGCTCTCACGAATCCCCAACCCGCTCCCTCCCATCCTCTACAAACACGCCATGATTTCACGATGAGTTCAACAAACTTCGCCGCCGCACAAGAACGGGTTCTTGAACGTCGTCGCCAGCGTGAGGCCGAAGCGCGCGCCCGTCATGCAACACAGCAGCGGGCCGCTCCGATCAGCCCGGCCACCGTCCAGCGTCTGCCATATCCATTGAATCGATTACCCAGCTCGGGGTGGAGGATATGGAATTCTATCAAGGGCCGGGATGGTACGCGCCCCGCATTTCGAGTGGGCCAGGTGGATGCTGAATTGTTGGATGAGGAGCTGCTTGGTCTGATGAAGGGTCAGGTCGGGGATGCTCTCAAATACTTTGGGGTATGTCTGAATGCTTGACGAATGAATCTCTGAAGTGTTGTGATAAAGGGTGGCTGACAATTACAATAGCCTCAAATGCGCGAAGATTGGTCACATGAGATTCTATTCGCATTACGGGCTATCCTCTTTAAACTATCAATATGGGATCACAATGCATCGTATGGTGCAGCGCTACAAGGCCTCAAATACACCGATAGTCGAAGCAAAGGACCTGTTTACTCTTCTCCAACAAAATGGCAGAAGAGTATTTATGGCTTATTGACGGTTGGAGGGCGATACGCTTGGGACAAATGGGAGAGCTGGCTGGTCAATCAAGAAGGTGGCTATGACGAGGTAAGTTCGACACATTACTTTTTGTTGACAATGTTTGACTAACGGTCATTATAAAGCCATCACAGGACATCCGAATGTTGTCGCGACTAACGGACATGCTCTCGACATCACACTCGATTGCCGCCTTCGTCTCTTTCCTGGTGTTCCTAGTGAATGGCCGATACCGTACCCTAGTCGATCGCATCCTTCGCATCCGCCTTACTCCTCCGTCCGCACAGGCTAGCCGGGAAGTATCCTTTGAGTATCTAAACCGCCAACTAGTCTGGCATGCGTTTACCGAATTTCTTCTATTCCTCCTTCCTCTTGTTGGAATTGGTCGCTGGCGACGATGGATCGCCCGTGCATGGCATAAGATGATCAATTCTATCCGGTCAAGCGGGGATGATGACGAGGATTCCGAAAAACAAGGGGAGCTGGCCTTCCTCCCAGAGCGAACCTGTGCTATCTGCTACCGCGATCAAAACCCTACCACAACAACAGAAAGTGATGCCATGGCGGCCTCTGCGTCAGGGGGTATTGTGGGATCAGCACAAACCGATATCACAAACCCGTATGAGACTGTGCCTTGCGGTTGTATCTATTGTTTCGTCTGTATTGTGCAGAAAATCGAAGCAGAAGAAGGACAGGGATGGTCTTGCCTCCGGTGTGGTGAAATTGTTAAGAAGTGCCAGCCTTGGAATGGCGATGTTCTAGAAGAGGCACGGTCGCAGCCTGGAACTGGGAAGATTGTTGGCTTTGCCATTGACGGTGAACAGGATGACGAGACCCGCGGGACAGATCATCACCAAGCGGACTCATCGGACAAATCCAGCCCGTTGCAGGAGATCAGCGCTGATGAAGCCCTGCAGCATTCAGAGCAATGGTCGACCATTGAGAAAGAGTCTACGGAGGACGATGGCGCAAGAGATACGATCGAAAATGGGAAATAAAGCCTGTTTCAACATGACAGTAACTCGAAGGCATGCGTTTCACACTCCGGATGCTCTCGAGGGCATATACTGGCCTTCTCTCCTCCGACTTGTTATAAATATACAATTACCTGGGTATTCGCAGTACATATGCAACTTGCAAACCTGATAGAAATTTGACGATACCCCTACTTGAAGATTGAAGTTTCCTTTCACATAATCATACAGGACTAATTTCACAAACAGCGGAGTCATACTGTCACAACTTTTAGCATTCCTGTTTAAGGAATTATCCAGCTGGAGACAGCAGCATAGAACCCAATTCCAGCCCCAACAAGTGGAAGCGCAGATCTGATCAAATTCAGCTTTGACCAATGCTGCAAAAGTCCAAGCACCTCACTATCCTCCCTAGCCCGCTTCGCCTTCTCCTGCGGACTAACCACCATACTCTCAGTACCCTCGGCGCCAGCTGCATCATCGCGCCTTGCATGAGCCTTCAGTTTGGCATTCGTATCCTTCATAACCGTAATCGTAAAAGGTGCAATGCTCATCGTAACCCCAACTGCAAGCAGATAGGTTGTGGACCAGCTAGACCCAAAGATATCCGGGGCAGGGGTAGGAGAGTCCCGCAATGCCCAAAGCGCATAAAGGTTTGCCAGTGAAGATACTGCGGATATGCCGGGGAAAATCTTGCTGCCACGATCATACAGATCAAGCCACTGGTGTGTCAAGTGGGCGGTCGAGGTTCCTGGGGTGTCTTGGAATGGCAGTGTCGCGCCAGGTGGGCGACGGGCTGGAAGTATGATATTTGGAACACTCATTATTGACAATGCAGCAATGCCGCCTTATATACTGTGAGTGTCTGGTCATCTGTTGTGTAGGTAATGATACTTACTTGCTGCCACTGCACAGCCAAGCGTCCCTATTGCCTGGGCGATTCTCACGTCGGTGGCCATTATTATATGGCTAATTTGATATCTAATATCCGGATTGCGATGGAATAATTGCAATGAAACAGAGCGAAAAGTGCTGAATATTGCTTTTATAGAATATGTATGACGTCAGTGCCCATGGATGACGCGGTGACTCTCTCCCCTTGTTGCACTACATTTTAAATAGAGTAAACATAGTACATAACTCCTACTTTAAATATTTATATGTAGACTCATAATGTCATATACATACAATCTTATATGTAGATCGTAAGACTAGGCCCAACTCCGATCTGCTCATCAATCGGCCGCATCTGACTGGACAATGAACGTGGGGTCCCGGGGTCGGACATCCCTGCGAAGACAAGCTCCCGAGGTTGTGTGGGCTATAATTTTAGTCAATTGCCTCGACAATTCTTTTTTGTTTGTTTTTGTTCTATCTCACAGATCATAATGGATTCTTCAAATTCAACCGTACCTGGCACTCTCAGCGAGGCCAAATACATCAACTTCCCTTCTTTGCCCACAAATGCGAAGCACCCGGATGGCTCCCCCGCACTCAATCGTCACTCCCACACTATCACCAAAGGCCATGATTTCCCCGGTGCGCGGGTAAGTCGGTAATGAGAACACCATGAATTCCATTACTAACCGCTGTAGGCTATGCTCTATGCCGCTGGTGTCCCAGACAAGGAAGCGATGGCCAAGAGCCCCCATGTCGGTATTGCCTCAGTATGGTGGGAAGGAAACCCGTGCAATATGCACTTGATGGACTTAGCCAAGACTGTCAAGAAGTCAGTTCTGGAGCAGGGAATGCTTGGGTGGCAGTACAACACGATTGGTGTTTCTGATGCAATTACTATGGGCAGTGAAGGTTGGTTTGACCGTCGATTCCCACCGCTAGGAAACGAAATAGCTAACCCATTCTAGGAATGAGATTCTCTCTTCAGACCCGAGAGGTCATTGCCGATAGTGTCGAGACCGTAACCTGTGCCCAATACCACGATGCCTGCATTGCTATTCCGGGCTGCGACAAGAACATGCCTGGTGTCGTAATGGGCATGGCTCGCCATAACCGCCCCTCAATTATGATCTACGGTGGAACTATTGGAATCGGCTACTCCGAGCACTTGCGGAAACCCATCAATGTCTCAACATGCTTTGAGGCTGCGGGTGCCTACGCCTACGGTACCCTGCGCCAGCCCGACGACGGCGGTGACCAAACCAAGACCCAGGATGAGATCATGGATGACTTGGAACGGCATGCTTGCCCTGGCGCAGGCGCCTGCGGTGGTATGTTCACAGCGAACACCATGGCCACTGCTATTGAGTCAATGGGTCTGTCGCTACCCGGCTCATCGTCCACGCCTGCTGAATCGCCATCCAAGATGCGTGAGTGTGTTCGTGCTGCGGATGCTATCAAGGTTTGCCTGGAGAAGAACATTAAGCCACGGGACCTACTAACCAAGCGGTCCTTTGAAAATGCTCTTGTCATGACTATGGCGCTGGGCGGTAGCACCAACGGTGTTCTCCACTTCCTGGCCATGGCTCGGACGGCTGGTGTCGACCTGACGCTAGATGACATTCAGCGAGTCAGCAACAAGATCCCATTCATTGCCAACCTCTCACCCAGTGGCAAGTACTATATGGCCGATCTGTATGAAATCGGAGGTGTCCCATCTGTCCAGAAGCTGCTTATCGCAGCCGGTCTGCTTGATGGAGATATCCCCACAGTGACTGGCAAGACGCTAGCCGAAAATGTCGCCTCGTTCCCATCCCTGACCGAGGGCCAGGATCTGATTCGCCCATTGGACAACCCAATCAAGGCGAGCGGCCACCTGCAGATCTTACGTGGCAACCTTGCACCAGGCGGTTCCGTTGCCAAGATTACCGGCAAGGAAGGGCTCCGCTTTGTTGGCAAAGCCCGTGTCTTCGATAAGGAGCACCGCCTCAACGATGCCCTGAACGAAGGCCGCATCCCGCGCGGCGAGAACCTCGTGATCATCGTGCGTTACGAGGGCCCCAAAGGCGGGCCCGGAATGCCGGAACAGCTGAAAGCCAGTGCGGCACTGATGGGAGCTAAATTGACCAACGTGGCCCTTATTACTGACGGACGGTATTCGGGTGCCAGCCACGGTTTCATTGTTGGTCACATTGTGCCCGAAGCTGCCGTGGGTGGTCCAATTGCACTTGTCCGCGATGGGGATGTCGTCACCATCGACGCTGAGACCAACTCGCTTTCAATGGATGTCTCGGATGAGGAACTTCAGGAGAGACGGCGCCAGTGGACCCCTCCTTCACCGCAAATCACTCGCGGTGTGTTGGCCAAGTACGCACGATTGGTCAGTGATGCATCACAGGGAGCCATGACAGATCTGTTTTAATGAATCATTATGATATGCCCCCTGAGTGTAAATGTATACGGAGTAGCATATTTCGAGGCAGTTGAAATGATGTTATGATCTACCGTGTTCTACTCCGTACCGTGTTCTAGAAAAGGGATAAACATTCGATTTTGATATGATCTTCGTGGTCCCACTTGAAATTGGCCAGTAGTAAGTGAGAAGCTACCCATGCTGGCTCCGGGGGTACTATGAAATGGAGCCCAATACTGACATTTTGGGAACCACACGGAATAGTGTACATAGTACATCGCAGGAGGCAATAAGAGAGCAAGGGATATACATAGAAAAAAAGAAGATTAAATCATGCTCAACCTTGGAATTCATGCCTAAATAGGATACAAAGGATCTTAAAATTTCAAAAGGTACTTGTCCTCCCATAGTAAATGCCATAATCAAGCAAGTTCCTTCCCAAATTTGCAAGAATTCCAAGGTTGAAGTGGACCAATGGAAGACGATGACTCACCCCCACGCCGCTCCTCCCGAGGCTGTGAGTGGCCGAAGGTGAACTTTCTGTGCTTTTTTGTACTTTTTCTTATCCTCACAACTCATTCCAACGTTGTCGATCTTGCTTTCCTTATTGGTCTCAGGGCTATTCGACCTACATCCAAAGAGCATCGGGAGCGCCATCGCGTGATTTTTGGCGGAATCACTATCGGGGGGCCCTGAAAGCGCCCAGAACGCCCCTCCGGTACTTAATCATGGGGTCCGACGCTATCTCCGCCCTATACGACTCTTTAACGTCCCAGTCCAAACCATCAAGTGTCGCGCCTGTCCTGCGATTCTTTCACTCGGTGTGCGCGGCCGCCCAAAACGCTTCTTTCCCCTCCGTCGCCAGCTTTTTCCGCGGCCTCTACCGCAATGATAATGTGAACTGGGGTCAGGTTGTGTTCTTAACTACCTGTGTGATCGCCATGACTGGATGTGGATTGTTGTCATCGCTGGTGAAGCGCAAGCGGTCGGGGTCGAAGACCTCTCGTGCGCAACGTCCCGCCGCTCGCAAGAGCTCGACTAAATCTTCGAAGACTCTGAGCTCCTCGGAGGAGGACGATTATGAAGATGAAGACTACGATAGCAACGCATCGTTGCGACATGGAACCAATCCCAACTACAAGGCGAAAGAATGGCCGTCGGACACTCAGCAGCAAAGCTCTGATGGTGGGTGAATAACTCATATTTCACTTGGGGCTTCTATTAACACTCCCGCAGCATATGAAACCGACCCGGGAATTCTCAGGAAATTCACCACATACAACTCCTACACTACCTCGGTGGCCACCTATCCCTCCATTCGCACCTTCTACAGCCCACATCCACACCTAGCTCGACTCCCGACCAAACCAACTCCTGTCCCACTGGTCGTGGTTGTTCATGGGCTAGGCGGGTCACTTGCACAATTCCACCACCTCCTGACCAGTCTGTCTAATGTCGCTTCATGCTTTGGTATTGATTTGCCCGGGTGTGGACTGTCCAAGTTTGCGCCTACGGATTGGAATGCATACACTGTGGAGGCTCTGTCTGAACTATTGGCTGAAGCCATTGATCAGCACCGGGACCGGGAGTCTGGCCAGGAAGTCATTCTAGTGGGACACAGTCTCGGATGTTCCTTGTCTGCCCTCTTGGCATCATCGACGTCGTCTATTGGTGCAAAATTGAAAGAGCACATAATCGGCCTTGTTGCTGTGTGCCCTCGAGCCGACCCTCCATCTGCGGAAGATACTACCAAGTTTCGCCGAGCGCTCTATGTTCCTAGCCTCATTTTCGATCTTTGGCGTCGCTGGGACAGACGTGGAGGCGAACAAAGTGCTAGTGTTATGCGGATGGTCGGCGTCGCTGCCGACGTGGAAACACGACATCTCCAGGTGCGCTTCAACAAGCAAAGTCGGACGCCTGTTTGGCGACGCATGGCGTGGGGCACACTTCCCACCTACAATAATGATGGCCACCCGATTGGCGGACTCCCTGGTCAACAGGTCTGGGCGGGAGTTCGCATGCCAGTTCTGTTAGTCGCGGGAGAGACGGATGCTGTGACCAAACCGGTGGAGGTGCAGAAGCTTTTGAAATTCTTCGGTGATGCTTCATCCCATACCACGATTGACACCAGCGATAGCAGCATCATCCCAGACGCTTCGCGAGTCCATGACCAAATGCCAACTCCAGTCGGCAATCACGTCGACGAGAACGTGTTTGGTGTGCAGGTCTCCGAAAAGTATTTGGAGGTTGGCCAGCGGAAGCGAGTGGTCAAATCGGCAATTTTGCCAGCGCCCGCATCTCATGCACTGCTCTACGACCGGGCGACCTATCGCACCCTTGCAGGGATTATCCAGGATTTCCTCTCGTCAAATGTGGACAAGCGTCTCGGTCTCGGCTGGCAATTGCAGCACATGAACACATCTGGAAAGTGGGATGTCAAGAACCTCGCGAAATGGAAGAAGGTTGCCCCAGTCTCGGAACGAATTGCCAACACATTTGCAGCGCTGAAGATGTTGCGCGAGGTTGACGAGGAACACAACCCGGCGACTTTCTCCGCAAAGTACCATGGCCGCATTCACGCTGTCATAGACATCAGTCATGAAAGTCCAGTTTACAACCCGGCCGAACTAGAGAAGGGCGGGGTTCACTACTACAAGCACCCGACTATATCCAAGATTCCTCCAACTCCGGACGAGACACGCGACTTTATCGCTCTGGTCAATAGCATCCAAAAGGATATTGATGAGAAGATGGAGCAGCGCACGGAGGAAGAGAAGCTTCTGCCACGTCCAGTGGTCGGAGTTCACTGCCACTATGGCTACAACCGTACCGGGTTCATGATCGCTTGCTATTTGATCGAGCATCTTGGTTTTGGTGTGCAAGATGCCATTGACGAGTTCAACCGGTGCCGACCTCCTGGCATCCGTCATGGTCATTTCATTGACACGCTGTTTGTGAGGTATTGCGTTGGACTGAAGAGAGCACCCACACTGTAATTGGTAATGATTCTGGCGTTTGAAACTGGGGGGAAGACTATGGATCAAGGCATTAGGAAACGGGGTACATTTTTAATTGTTTAAAGTAACGAATAATGACAACTGCCATGAGATAGATTTTAATTGGTGTATAATTAGGACATGAGAAAATGAGCTCTTCACATAATCTTTCATTCGATTGTATTGTCCGATAATTAATGCCTGGAATATCAGGCATCAAGCGGTGTGATTTGGAGCCTGAGCCATTAGGCACAAGTTGGGCCACATCACATGACCCAGCTTAGGGTACGGCTAACCCAAAATGGACAAGCGAACGGCACACAGACCCAACCCGCCCAGAGTTGTGTGTGTCTTGAAATTTTGAGCGACTCTTCGACTTCGACCTGCCCACCTCGACGCCCAACGCCTCTCTCTCTCTAATCCCTACCCTTCGACCCCTCGACAAGTCGCCAAAATGGGTGGTGTTACCGTTCGCGATGTGGACGTAAGTGTCCTGCTCGACTTTTAGGTGATCGGTCAGCTCTGGTTTGCGTGATGTGGACGGTTCGTTTCTGGATGCACGGATACCACAACATCGGTCGGATCATATCGCCAAGATGGAAATGCTTCGGATTACGCACGCAATAGGCGAATGGTTTCATTGCCATGAAGAATATGTCGAATATTGAAGGATGTGCATGCATGTTTTGAGGGGCCGAATCTTTAGTAGATCCGTCTATCTGTCGGTATTCTCTCTAGAATACTTGACACCACGACTGCATGCTAGCGCAAAACTCCACACGACGAATGATGAACTGCATCCAGAAACGAATCCGACGCATCTGCAAATCCACAGACTTTTGACCGATCCACGCATACCTTGATGAGCCATAACTAACATATAACTTTTTCTCCCACACAGGCGCAGAAGTTCATCTCTGCCTACTCTGCTTTCCTGAAGCGTCAGGGAAAGCTCCCCATCCCCGGATGGGTTGACACTGTCAAGACCTCTGCTTCCAACGAGCTTCCTCCCCAGGATGCTGACTGGTACGACCGCATCAAATATCAAGCCACCAAAATTCGAACAAACAATTGACATTCTTACTTTTAAGGTTCTACGTCCGCGCCGCCGCCTGTGCCCGTCACATCTACATGCGCAAGACCGTCGGTGTCGGCCGTCTTCGCAAGGTCCACGGTTCCACCAAGAACCGTGGTTCCCGCCCCGCCCACCACGTCGATGCCTCCGGCTCCGTCGACCGCAAGGCCCTCCAGGCTCTTGAGAAGATCGGTGTCCTCGAGACCGATGAGGACAAGGGTGGCCGCCGCATCACCCAGAGCGGTCAGCGTGATTTGGACCGTATCGCCAAGACCACCGTCGATGAGGAGGAGGAGTCTGATGAGGAATAAACGTATCGCAACGATGGGCTTTTAATAGTTCGGGGATAAGTCGTTTGTTTTTGTGGTTTTGTCTTCGCTACGGCGGCAGGATATTGGAAATGACGGCACAAAAATAAAAATTCGGAGCTTGCGGTCCCGTGCGCGACTTTACGTTTGTTTCTTTTTTCTTGTTCCACTCCATATTTTTTTTTCTGACGACCAGACGGGGCTACTAGCGGAGAGAGATATGGGCGGTGCAGAGTGCATGAGGATGAGGCATCATTATCCGGAGACTTGAACGAGAGAAGAGAGCGGACGAGACGTTCTACACAATCCTTCCCCTCTCTCTCTTGTCGAGGGGAGGGGATCTTTTTTCCCCGACATGTTTTTTATGATCTCCCTCACCTCTTTGACCCCGATCAACCCTACGGCGTCTTTGTCCCTTTTTTCTCTCGTGGTCTCCTGGAAATAAAGAGCATGTCTAAACACTTCAAAACTGTTCCGTCCTCTCTCTCTCTCTCTGTGTGTTGTAGATGTAGATGTAGACGTCTGGTATCGTTTAGCTACCAGCAGATCCTCAGCTTACACATGATATAGATCGACATTCTCCAAAAGTCAAATCAATTGATATCCAATCATTGTTATTGAATTTATGCAACTCTTGTTCTTATATGTATGTATGTACAAGACAAGTCCAAGTTGGCTCACATTCTAATATATTTCATTTCTTTCCGGACTGAGCCGCGGTATCCTAAAAAAAACAATTAATCAGCACCACAAACAACACCGTACAGTCAGCAACGATATACTCACCAAGTAAACCTGATAAAACTGCATCTTGATCTCCTCATCACCCTTCTGGGGCGCGAACACAACCCGTCCAGCCCAAGGCACATAAACGTCATTATCGGGGTTAGCCTTGAGTCTATAGTTCACGCCACCATACAGCATGAGCTCATCGTCGCCGCCGAAATAGACCTGCGTCGGGGTGTGTCGGCGTGAAGCAACGTGTGTCCAAAGACCTTGGCGGAGGGGGAGAATTTCTATTACGGGATTGGCTTTATTAGCTAGAGTACAACCATTGGCCAGTGCAGATGTATATTCTGCGTCGAAATAAAAATCGGGATCTGGATCGGCTATCTAGCTTCGCCTAAGTTGAGGGCGGGGATCGGATAGCACCATACCGCTTGCGCCCTTGGCCTCCTTAGGTCCCATGATGAGTGTTGCATCTTCGGTGAAGCTCTGGACGTATTTCTCGTGCAGGGACTCGGTGTCGCTGGTGCGGTAGAAGTCTTCCATGAATGCGACGAGCGCGGCGCCGCGGGGTGGTGCGCGGGTAGTGTCGTAGGCAATTTGGTAAGACATTCTGGTTTTGTGACTTAAAGAGAATAATTTGCAAGTTAAAAAAGAATAATGAGAAGATCCCGAGTTCTTGCAGGACATGTCTATTTCATCAAGAGGGGAAACATCGGAAGGGGCGCATCCGATCTTATCGAGGACCATATAGCGAGGTTTTTCTTCCTACCTTTTTATACAGAGCAATCCGCATGATATTAGACTTATACAAAGACTAGATACTAATCCATATGAGGTCCTGCACGATCTGAAAAAGCACACGGCCTACATAGTCCTCGAAGTCGTAGGTTGCACTTCGGAATAGCATCGGAAGTGGACATCCCCACAAATATTAGCCCTGACAGTCAGCCCTTTGGAGATTTGTATACTATAATTGTCTCAGTAAGTTCAAGGCAAGTCCTTCTTGCATTGAGAGATTCGCTATATATACAACATAAATGTCCCATCAGGTACAATGCTTATACTTCGACAATTTTGCCTGATATATTGATTCTCTTCCTAAATAATATCGCAATACAAGAGCTTTATCGAGGGAGGTTGGCAAAAAACACTGAAATTTCCTAGCTAATAAGAGAGAGAGGGAAGAGAGAGAAAGGGAGCATACAGGCCTTCTCCACCTGTATCTCCGTGACAAATGCATACATCCTTTTTCCTAGCAGATCACACGTCGCGTGGAATAGGTCTCTCCTGGGGACAGTGTTCCCCCATATAATCTTTGACAAGCATTTGACGATAGGGGGTCCTTTTGTAGATATAGCCTCCCCCATGATCCACTTCCAACCTCCGTTCCATCACCCGTGCGATAGCGCCCTCTCCATCATCGCGTGCCTCCCACCATCGCCAATCCTCTCCAGGATGGTATTGTCTGCGGAATCTAGTATGACCAAAGTCGATCATAGTCAATTTAAACTTGTATTCGGACTCCAGCTTGTTGGCTGGATCAGGTTGCACGATAAAGCACCTTACATCAGTATCGTCATTGAGGATTCTATGGCTCATGATATCGTTGACGATCTCGACGGCTTTGTCAATTATGGGCTGCCATTCTTTTCTGGGGGCATGTTCGGCAATGTCAGGAAGGGGGAATCCTTCGATATATTCCATGAGAATCCCAGGATGTTCGAAATACCGGCTGATGGGCTGATCTTGGGTGTATTCCGGCCCCAGAATCTTGGTATGTGCGAAAATTCGGGGGATGTGAATTCCCTGCAGATCTTTCATCGTTTCATATGCTTCGGTCTCTGATTCGTACCGGAACTGCTTGAAGAAACAGAAATCTAGCTCACTGCCTAAGTAATCCCATTCTTCTTCTGCTGCTTCTTCAGATTCCCCTGCATCCTCAACCGCTGCATCGAGATTGCTGGGCTGTTGTTCCTCAGTTGTCACATAGGTATTCGTAGAATTGTTTCCATTGGCTTCATCATTTCTGTTGATCCCTTGGGGTTTTATATCAATGGCCTTTTGGTGTCTCCAGGGAAGTACTGCGGTGACTCCAGTGTGAAAAAAGCGAATGGCGCACAGCAGACCACGGAAAGCCATCTTATATGCGTGGAAGAGAGGAGAGAGAAGATTGATAGATAGCATGGAAAGCTTGAAGAGGGTGCCTTTGGAGTTGGCATCGTCATTATCGTTGGTGTGGCCATTTTCATTGGCGCCTTCCTGCTCACAGGTGTTCTGTGGGTGCTGTTCCTCGCCGGTACCTTCCTCGATGATCGTTGGCATGAAATCATGATCTTCTTCTCTTTCTTTTATGCAAAACTTTTCATGTTCAATCGCAAACTTCAGTCCTTCATCTGAGCAAAGATACTTATAAAGGTCTCTTTCAATTTCTGGGGTCCAAGGATCTGCTTTGCAGAAAGTTCGTTGTTCTATTGAAAACCGTCGATCATAAACCTTCAGGACCACATTTCCCTCAATGCCTAGGGCAGAAAGGTCGGAATCAAACGAGAGGACCATAGCACATGAATTGGTCCAGGGTTCAAAGGTTTTAACGATTGTGGCTTGAACCGGGCGACCCTCCAGCTGCAGCGTGATCTTGTTGCCGACTACATATGGGCACCTGAAACTTTTAAAAAATATTCAAAAGCTGCAAAATATAATAATCACTTACTCAGTCACTTTGTCTATCATCTTGGCGTCTTCTTCCATCATAGCATAAAGAATTTGTGAAGCCTTACAAAGGTGGAACTAGGCGTGAAATAGAACAGAAGTGAAACGATTGAAAACAACTGGAATGAGGGCAAACATAAAGTACAAATATTGGGCAATACAAAGAGCCAAAAAGATGCCAAAAATAGAGGGGCAAAGCGCAAGAAGAGAGAGAGAGAGAAAAGTTGGAAGAAAAGGAAAGGTTTCTTTCATGCGGAATGCCGTGCCAACTGTCAGTCTAGTGACATATCCCCATGCATGGCGCCGAGAATAATAAACGAATCTTTGAATTAAGAGTTATACGTTAGTACTTCATCGTTGGTTTTATTTGTCCGTCGGGCTTTCTAGCTCGAGGAGAAAATGGGGGGGG